AAATTATATATTAAAAGTGTAAAATGTAGTTTTCTGTAATCCCTTTATGAAGTTTATGTGGACATCTTATTGCACATTTCTGCAGGAAAAAAAACAAGGCTCTTTGGTGAAAATCATTTAACCTTGCCTATGTTCATACATGTACAGTACATGTGTATTTGACTAAGATTCATGCACATTGTAGGCGCCCATTGTAGTACGTGCACACAACACAGGTTGTAAGGATAGAGCCTTTATGGCATTGCAACATCTGCACATTCCAATCTGTTCAGAACTGGGTTTTTCCCATGACGACCACATTCATGAGGTCATGTACAATATTCCTAAATGCAGTACAGAAATCAGTAGCAGCTGTATTTTATTAGCTTCTTGAATCCTACATTTTTATTTTAGATCCGTAATTAAGTGCATTATTCCCTAGTACATAGTAATAGTATTCATTATCCAACACAGATCATGTTTAAAAGACCTACAAAATACAAATGTACATGCGTAGTTGCATACAATGAATATATAGGCCTACAAATGTGCACACCTATATGTAGCCATGTAGACATTTCATTACATGTACAAATAACAGTCACGTTGGGTACCATGTCCTGAACCATAAGACCACATGTGTTTATAAGTGTGTACATGTACATGTATGTAACTCTATGACTGTACATATATACATGTACATCTTGCTCATTTAGTGTATGGACTTTACACTGACTGCACACTGTACAGCAGTAGAGTGTAGCCTAATCTGTGCTACGGGCATGTAAATTCAATGGAACCCAAAGAGGAGCATTCTAGCATTTAAATATCCTTTTAATCACTCATACAATGCTGTAGGAATATACCTTCATAACACACAGAAAGTCATATTAGATATACATGTACTGTACACTGTATAGAGGCTGATGTTGAACTCTTATGCTGTACGTGATAGTAGAAAAGGCAAGTGACATAGCCTATCCTGTATTTAATTATGATGCTAGTGTAGTCTACAGTTGAAATCCTGAAATGTATCTACATGTACACTGTAGAGACATGTAGATCATTTAAAAAAAAAAAAAAATTCACTTGCAACTATCAATCATCTTGAAATGTAATATCTGATTTCGGGGGAAGAAAATTGATTACTGTCTAAGGTACCCCTAAAAGATGTTGGGAAAAAAACGCATTAATTTCCAATTATGGTAAAAGCTATGCCACCATGAAAGATGAAAAATATGCAAATAGACTACACATTCGTGGAACCGTCATCAAATTTATTGTGAAATGTGATCTGTAGCATTTTGAACAGCATGCCCAAGTGTGCTTGCATTGTACCCGTTAAGAACATACAGCCACAGTATGGAATGCAAATGAGGGCATCTACATAATTGCGGGATTTTTTTTGCACTCTGATTGCTGGAGGCAAGTTGGTTTGTCACACCCGCATGTGTGTGGCGATGCAGGATGCGTACTGTGTGCATTATGAGCAAACCAACCAACCAACCGACCAACCTGCCGGCAGCCGTGCTTCAGGCTGAAATGCTTGATAATGGCCTAGCTGACATGCTGGGAGTGCACTGGCATGACCATTGCCAAAGTACCCCTGTGACTGTGCTATTGGATGTCAGCTATTTGTATGCATGGGCCTATGGGATTGGGAATAGGGGAGCAAATCAGCGAGAGTGAGAGAGAGAAAGGAAATCTGGAAGATGTATAGAGAATATTTGAATGAGAGAGAGAGTGAGAGAGAGAGAGAGAGAGGGAGAGGGGGAGGGGGGGGGGGGGGGGGGGGGGGAGGGAGGAAGAAAGAAACGTGGGGGGGGGGGGGAGTTGAGATTGGATAGATTAATTAAAGGAGAAGTGAAATACAGGAGAGAACATGGAAAGAGCGAGGAAATTCAAATGAAGGAGAGTAATAGGAGTGAGACAGAAGAAGAAAGGAAAGGCTTGAGGGAGGGAGAGAGAGAGAGAGAGAGAGAGAGTGAGAGGAGAACAGAGAGGGATAGGAGGGAGTATTGGTTTACCTGCTGTGGGGAATGAAACTGATCCATGCGGTGGGTTGCCGTATTTTTATTTTTCAGCTCCTTTTGCCTCTTTGCTTTGACAGTATTGCTAAATTTGCAGGGTTAAACGAGAACATGGCTGAGGTTGCATACATTTAATTTGGAAAATTGTCTTTGGATGACTATCCAGTTTCAGAGCTAAAATCAATAAACCTTGAACACAATAGCCATGAGCCCCAGAGCAAACTATCACTTGAAAATGAAAGAAGAGCAGATGTGTGAAATAAATTTACAATCGAAGCCAAGGGTTTTAACAGCAGTCAAACAATGGAATTTATTAATTTAAAAACAGTTGAACATACATTGGTATTGCACACACTGGCCTACGTGTAAAGGTTCCCTGAACTCATGTATACATGTACAGTACATGCAATGTTGTAGACATACAAGAAGGCGGCTAGGAGTATCTGGTAGAGCTGTATAATTTTAAGCTGCTATCAACATTTTGGTGTTGTAGATTTGTGCAAAATCTATCCTAATGCGGTTTTAAACATATATTAAGGCAAAAACATTTAAATCATTATCATCATTATTATTATATTATTATTTTTATTTTTATTATTATAATAATTATTGTCATTATCATCATCATCATTATCATAATTATTAGAATTGTTAGTAATATTATTATTATTATGATTATTAAGCCTGATTATCATAATTACATTATTCCTTTTTTTTGTATGGGGGGGGGGGGGGGGGGGGGGGGGGAGAGGGTTATCTTGATATATGTCAAACATACAGCCTGTTAGATTGCTTATTCATCCCATCCATGTTATGGCTATTACTTGTATGCATTCTAATCTTCATTTGCAGTGTGTAATAGGAATATAGTCCTGCCTATTGCAAGTGCATTCAGTCTAGTCTCTAGAAGGTTACTAGGTAATGCATTTGAGATCAATACATCACTGCAGCCACGGAGAGAGAGTATAGCTATGTGGAACAAAGGCTCCAGCATTTGACACAACTTATGCATTGAGTCAGGAGCATGCTGGGGAGGAACTGTGTTTTTCTGTTTTTTTCTTCCCCTTCTTGAGTATGGTCAGTTTGCTCCAGCAGTTAGCTGTTGCTTTGTGTTCATGCTTGAATGGGAGAAATATAAAAGCTGGGCATTAGCTAGCAAGGCATGCTGAAACTACCATGCCAAAGTGGGTCACTTGTTGTAATGAATACAGTATGAGTGCTGGGAAGGAAATGAGGTAAAGGAGAAAGCATGAAGCTAGCTCAGCAGAAATGAAAAAATAAAAATTAAAGAGAGAGAGAGAGAAGACATGAAAAAAAGAAAAAAAATCTGCAAAATTAAGATCTATTTTGCAAGAACTTTCTCCAAGTGAAGTTTTAAAGACAGCAGCAAACATGCATACAGTAGTTCTGCAGTTTAATTCAAATACACTTTAATACTTTTGTGTACAGACCTACAATGTAATGTAACATGTTTATTTTTGTTTGTACCGTCGGAACACAAACACATTTTCTTAAATAGTTATCAGTGTAGTTATTATTATTACTTTATTAGGCCAAATAATAAAAAATGAAGTGTTTCTCATCCCCGCCTGCCTCCTCTTTGGCCCTCGCCTCCTTTTTTAAACTATTTACTATTCAGAAGAAAAAAGCAACAACAAAAAAAAGCCCCCCTCCCCCCCCCCCCCCAAAAAAAAAGCCTGTGATATACATTTTGTATAAATAGCTTCTAAAGTGATACAAATCATTTGTTTTGTCATACATTGCATCAGTATACTCACATGTAGCCCAATATATGTGAATAAATAGGCTTGGCCAGCTATATTTAGCATGGCAGCCATCTTTGAAAAAATTTGCAAAAAATTGTAAAATAGTAAATTGTAATGCCCTGCCTCCTCCTTTTTTCTTAAAAATCCGGAGGAGAAACATGTTATTTTTGTTATTTGGCCTTGCAGATGTATTTTTTCTTATGAATATAACCTTTGTATTTATGATCTTATTATTGTGCAACCACCTGCTTTAAAGAATATGACAGCATGCTGTATTTAGACTATACTCTTCATATGGTGTGACTTGATAATTCTTTGACAGGATTAGCCATGTGAGTAATATAGGATAGGGCTTTAAAGATAAAGTTGAGTAGTTGTCATATGATTAAGCCTATATTCTGGAAGGAACTGTCATGGAGCAATTGGGAAAGGTTGATTGTGTGGTAGCCTACATCTATACAACTGATGAATACTGTCATTACTGTGAGATTGTGGAATGATTAAAATGAAAAGAAATTCTTTAATTTTTAAAGAAAATCATATACACAGCACACAGAAATTGGTGTATGGGACGGCACACACATGTGGTGTGAAAGTTTGGTCTAAACTTTTGACCTATTTCTCATATTTGAAATGTAGTGCCTTTGAAGAGCAATCAACTTTCCAGGCACATTTCTGGAATGATATTCATCCAAACTGACATACATGTACCAAGCATGACAATTGACAAAGGTCACAAATTATTTTTAACCCTTCCCAGAACTCAACTTAATCTTTAATCTTATACAGGGAGCCCAACCTGGAAACATGCCAGATCTTAATTTACTCTTCACAAGATGGTCTTTATATGAGCTTGTAGACCTGGATTGGCTTGTATTGTTCAAAGTACGTTTTTCAAAATAGAGATCGCTATTTTTACCAAAATGACTAATCTCTTGTTCTCTCACTTTCTCTCTCCCTGTCTTTTCTTTACTACAGAGATTGTGTTCCCAGGTCATCATTCCTTTCAGCCTAGCCTTGTGGCTGCTGACAGGGTCGATCATGCAGAGCCAGAAACTCCAGCAAAAATAAATTGCCCCCTTGCCTTTTTACACATTCCCTCCTCTCGACTTCTTTCAAAAGACCAGGCTCCAATTACAATTTTTTTCAATATTTGGCAAAGAAGTTATAGAGAAAGATTAAAAGCAAACCAAATTGATACCATCAAGTGAAGTATTTTTGGCTACCATACCTTTTTGAAAGACCCCCCTTCGGCCTTCCCCCCTCCACTAGCTGTGTGGTTAGGCTACAGCTGAGGATGTGTGATTAAATACAAAGATCTGCGCAGCTCTGCATGCCGCTAAGCTACTCTCTATGTTCATCTTCAGCCCGGCCGGTGTGAGAGACAAACAGGAATTATGCTCAAACTCATCACAGAAAAGTTGCAGAATCAGTCGCTGGAAGATGTCAACTTTCCTGCTATTTTGCCAAAGGTGAGTTAGCTCCGTTCAGTTTGTTCAGTTCTGAATTATTGTTATTATTATAATTTTGTATTTTCTTGGGAGGGGGGGGGGGGGGAGAGCATGTTAAGTGAGATAAATCGTCAGTGGCATATTAGCATTTAGCTTCTTGTACAGCATCCCTTTGAATATATATATATATATATATACTTTTTTTTTAAAATCCTTGTAAATAAAGTGATCTGCTACTCTAATTGGAGCCTATATTTCTGATGTACCGGTACTTCAAATTGTGAAAATAAATGAAAAATATTCATGAGATAGGAGTTTGCCAGTGAGGCACTAGAGCCATTTTTCAGTTGCACTGTGCTGAATCACTGGGCCTGGGCAAGGAAAACGCCTTGTTTGTATGCCCTTTACCAATATAAGCACAGCTTTATTTGCATCGGTGCAACGCAATTGTAACAGGGAGCTGATCTTGAAAAGACAGCTGTGAAATAAGTAATTGAACAAGGGAGGATTTTTTTAGAGCCATTCTCCTGTGCTGACAAAGAGAGACTAGGGTCTTTGAAAGCATTGCCTTGGATAGTGTTACTCAGGCTTCAAGTGCTTCCTTTTTTGTCTACCAAAGTATTTTGGTTGTTACTTTGAGTCTCTTTTATCATATTGAAAGAATCTCATTTTAGAGGTGTCGCCCTGTTTATACACCTTGACATTATGATGGACAAGTCGTAAAAAAAGTGACCGAACAGTTAAAGAAATATTTGTGTTTTTAAGGTAGTTTTTATGGAGTTATTTATTTCATGTCTGTGTGGAAGTGAAAGGCTTTGTCTGCAAGCTGTAGAATAAACTAAAAATAGTTACACATGTCTAGTGTGCAATTTTGTGTACTTTTGGGGAGAGGCTATTAAAGAAAGATGTTATACAAATAGCCCCCTCAAAAGGAAGAAGATCAATGGATTGCACATCTTCGATTGAACAGTGTCACTGAATGCACAGCTGTGATTGACTTTTTTTCTGTAGGCACCTTGTTTTCCCTCGAAGGTGATTGTGCAGATTCATAGGGAGTGGTATTTACATTGTAGCCTTCTTGGAGAAGAAGGAAAGAAAGCAATGAGCCTGAATGAGGCACACATGTCTTTTATTGGCATGTTCTTTACAGGGTTTGACAGAGGAAAAATAATGGGAAAATTTATGGTACAAACCGAAACTCTTTACGTACATACATGTACATGTACCGTAGTTACAGGAAGAACATGTTTTATAAGAAGCTGTTATGTACATAAATGTAGTCCTTAAATTTAGGTTCACATTTGTCTGAGGACCAGTTTATCCATTAAGCCTACATTCATACTGTATACTAAAACTGATCACAAGTAACTTTGAACCTTGGGACCACTTTGTGATTTAACCTGAGAACATGATTTGCATGAAAATAAGCAAACACAATTACAATTATACACTTATTCATCTTCAAAAGCTTTTCTGAGGTTTCTCTGACCTAAAAATATCATTTTGAATAGTGTATTGCAGTAATTTGTAACATGTGAATGATATACATGTACATGTAGTTTGTCACTAGAAAGAAGCATCCCAAAATTTGAAAGTATTGCAATTTGCAAAAATCGTCTGTGTGTGTGTGTGTTCCTGGTTTGAAAAATGTAAACACATCCTATAAATACTGTACCATTGAGGCCAAAACCACATTAAAAAAAACGGAACTGTTCAGATGAGGAAAGTTGCAACTTATGCCCTCACAAATGGGCATTGTACTAGGTTCATGCTTGCTGCATTATCTGTGACCTTTTCAGCTATACAGTGTTTTTTCTAAACAGTGCACCCTGTCTTGACACTTCTTTATCGACTGTTTACATTCAGATAAGGCATGTGATAAGAGAGGTAGTCAACAAAAACAGGATTATATTTATTCATCACCTTTGTAACTGTTTGCTTTTCATTGATGGTCAACATTAAAACTTGTATTTGGACAATAAATTGTGCAGCAATGTTTACACAATGGCTACAGGTATGAACAAATTCCTGAAGAACACTTGTTTATAAGATAATATCACACACTTTGTACCTGCACTTTTTATACCACATACTTTGATTTTTAAATGTGTTTATTAAACAAAGTATTGCAAAAATAATATTTTGAAGTAAATAAAGGAGGAGCAGTAATCCTGTGTTGATCAATGGAGGAGGGGGACCCTGGTGGTGGAGAAAGTTTGTATGTTAGTATAGAAAGCAAAGGATGGTGAAGGAAAAGGGGGAGGGGGGGGGGGGGATGCAGTCTTGGGTATTACTGGAGGCAGCGGAGCCTATTGAGAGGCCCCTGGATACATATCAAGAAATATCATTTCATGGCTGTTATTTTGACACAAGGTGCCATCATCATGCCCAGCGACTATGGCATTCTTTCAAACCCATTAATCTAAATTGGCAAACTGAAGTGAAATAGGGCACTTCTCTCCCCCTCTTCAGACGAGAGGAAACCAATACGAAACTCGTCTAAAGAAATGTTGTATAAAGAAACTAGTTTTGAAGAGGTCAGGTGACATATGTTTAGTGTCGGTTTTGATGACAGCTTGCCAATCATCAGTCCCCCCTCCCCCCCCCCCCCCCCCCCCCCCCCCCCCCGCACGATACATGTTAATTTGATGGATGTCTCTTTCCTAACGACCTAGCGACGATTAGATTAACCTGTTGTTATTCATGAACGAAGTGCAATACTTGGAATCCAGTCTGCATTCATTTCATGTTGCTATGTAGGGCAAGCCTAGGGCAAGCTTTCAAGTTGTCAAGAACTATGTTTGTTTTAAAAAGTATGCATATAATTTGAATATGTTGGCAAACTGGTCTATTACTTAGTTTTTGTATGAAAATTTGTATAAGGAGTGGACGCTGCTCCTTTATAGGGGTTTTCATTTCAAATGATGCCCACACATTTGATAGCTTAAATACAAAGTTTTGTTATGCAACATTTCATTATGTATACGACATTCACACTAGAAGAACAAAAAACCGTTCTTATTCTAAAGAGTGCTGGAAAAACTACATGAACTTTGCTTGTCTGAACGAGGGGCTCGTCTCCAAACCCTTCTTGAGAGGATGCCCAGGTTGGCGTGAGTAATTCAATTTCCTGATGTTACTATTCAAATTATTTCTCATCCAGATGGAGTGTGATAAATCATGGTTGGTACCAGGGCAGTAGTCCCTCCAGCTCCTTTGTCCCTTTCCTCGATATATCTCTTGAACTCTCCTGCTATTAAAAAGAAAACTATATTTAAAATAACCTACAAGTAGCTCCCTGAGATTACATTTATTGTGTACATATATGACAAATGTACATTACGTGTACATGTACATGTAGCTCCTTGCTTGAGCTTATTTGCACTGTGTACATGTACATTATCATGAATGTACATGTACTGTACATGGGCCTACACAAACATGTACTGCAGGTCTACCTGTACTGGATGCTGTGCAATGTGTGTGTACATTATGCATATAAAAGCAAAATCTAGTTTCTCATCAGTGCTCAGCCTTGATGCTAGCTTGAATCGGTTGAACATTTGTAAATATTTGATTTGACAGCACATGTACTTCTAAATACAAGAAATATAGGCCTACAAATGTACACTGTAGCATCGGGGAAATGAAGAAATGCAAGGTATTGACATGTTGTCAGTCTTTGAGGGAGAATCGTTTTTTGCATTTGTTATATTGGGAATTTGGCTTGTACAGAAATTTCAAAAATGTTCTTGCTTCAATTATGAAATGCAAGAGATTATTTCATTGAGCACTACATACATGTACATGTAACTCAGTAGGTCCGCTTGTTAATTTCTGTCTTTGTAGCTCTGTTTAGGAGGCTGACACGTCTTGTCTTACTGTACACAAAAAAGGGAAGTAAAATTCCTTTCAAATTCGGTTTTAGCCTACAGTGTAGATACCATTTCATTTTCCTAGTAATGTGTACCAGTTTTTGTTGATTTTTCTAAATTCATTATTTTTTCGAAAGTGGCCTGTATCCAATATTAATTCTTCCTTCCTTCCTTCAATCTTTTGTGTGTACTGTACATCAGTATGCTACAATATGATATTAGTGTGTAGTAGCTACATGTACGCCAGTGGTCTGTACACTGTGTTTGTGTGTGTATCCGGCCAGCAATTTGCATCAATGCCATCGCTGGCGAGAGTCCAGAAATCAGTATTGATTGCTGCAAGGGGAGAAGGGTTACCTCTCCCACTAGTGTCTTAATCTCAACCATTGTTATAGCAACCAGAGTAACGCTTTATTCTTGATAATACTAGTAGATTTCATTTACGTACATGTAGGTGTGGTTCGACCTGATAAAATGATCTCTTGTGCTGTTAGATGTAAGATGAAAAACAAGAAGATTTTATCATATATACAGCCTGCAGGTCTACATGTATTTTATGTACAGTATTTGTATGGTTAGATCTACAAATTATTAAAATAATTTTGATATGTCATTGACAGGAATATTGGGCGTACATTGGGATGTAGGCTGGGGCCAAAGGGGTATCAATATAATGGTTTCAGAGAGGGGATGGGTGCAGTTGCTTTCCTTATGATATGTTCCTATGGACATGTTGTTCCGATTTTGTAAGTAAAATAATAATTAAACAAATAAAAATGAAATCGTGATGTAAACAATATAAACTATACATGTACATGTACTTGCCTTGTATTTAATTGCACTCTGTTATAACTAGAGAGAGGGGAGAAAGATGGGAGAGAGGAGAGAAAGACGAGAGAGGAGAGGAGAGGAGAGGAGAGAGGAAAGAGGAGAGAGGAGAGAGAGAAAAGCGAGAGAAAGAGCTCTAGAGAGAGAAAGAGAGAGAAGCGAGAGAAAGAGCTCTAGAAAGAGAGAGAGAGAGAGAGAGAGAGAGAGAGAGAGAAGAGAGAGATGGGGGGGGGGGGGTGTCGGTCACATTCTTTGTACATGTATACAGGCTGTGTGCCTCCACATATTTACAGGTGCAATGTACTGTGTAATCACGGGAGGTATCACATTGACATGAAATGAAACCTTTTACTTTTGGTAAATCAAATAAAGAAGATATCCGCCCCTCATTTCTCCCTCTGGCAAATAGCCAAGCGAGTTGTTTGTTTCTACCTATTTTTGACTTACTGTTCATTATGCCAACACAAATCAAAGCTCCCCTCTTCAAAATGAGGCAATAAATAACTAAGAGTTTGAAGCATGATGCTCGTTTTACAGAACAAAAAGATTTACAAGACTGTGTTCTTTATTATATAACTATTTGATGTGAAGAAAAATGTTTTATAGCAATTTTGATCCCATTGGCATTGTTTATTTAATACCCAGAAGCATGAATCTCACTTCTGTATATATTTTTGCTCTTCATAACACAGAAAGAAAGAATTCAAAAATTACACTCCCCATTATGCATGAAAAATTAGGCTGCACAGGTGACATGTTCATCTTGTACATGAAATTGGAATTTAAAAAAAAATCTACAATTATTTTTAAACAAAATCTTCCAGGACAATTATGCTTACCATGAGAGATTAAATTTCATGAAAATGTTTTTTTTAGTACGGTTATTTTTTTTTATTAAAAAAAAAAGAAAAGAAAAAAACGACTTCACCAGTATATCATTTATACATGTACATGTAGATGTTCTTTGTAGTCCATGGTATGCACACAACTATTGAGGAATTCCATCAACCTCTATGATTCTGGGAGGATCAGCAACCTCATCCCTCCCATCCCATTCTGTCTTCAATCTCCTCCCATCTCCCTCTTACTCCTCCTCCTCCTTATCCCTCCATCCCTCCTCCTTCTCCTCCTTGCAAGAAGGAGAAGGTAGAAGTATACAACCATCAGTTGTGATGAGATATGCCTGGCTAGAAATGTCATAATTACTGTTGTCACCAATAGGCATCCTGTTCCATTTGTCCAAACCCCATTCAGACCAGCAAGCAATTATCATTTAGTTATTAAAAAACTATATAGAAGATAATTGTCTTGTTTTGCACTACGGTTTCGATATAGGCCTACAATGTTATTAAACTGTTGACTAATAAAATAAAAGTGTAGATTTGAAAAAAAGTCAAATACAAGTAGGAGTCAGAGTCCTTCATCCAAGTGAACTTCTATCATACAAAAACTGAATAAAAGGCAGGGCTTATTCCGAAAGCACACTGATATAACCACTTTAAAAATTTCCATCGAGCAGTGCCCATGACCTAAACTGACACTAAATATATTACATAAAAACCTCTTCAATATTGTACAACTGTTTTTAATACAATACTCCTGTCCTCTGTCTCTGTGTATGCCTCTGTGATTCTTTCACTATACAACAATTATGTATACCATGCTTCTTTTTACAAATCTTGTATACCGGTACAATTTCTCTTGTGTGAATGTCCTGCGCATCTTGGACATGGAGCAAGCGCTGTGTTCTGCCGCTTTGATGATAACCAAGAGAGGAGGGTTATGGTCCTGTCACCACCGGACCCTCTGTCTTCTTTCATCCTACAGGGATGGATGAGGAAAGTGTTTATTTTTTCTGGGTCAGGGAAGCTGTTTGCAGATGAAATAGAATTCCTGCTGTGTTTTCCGATGTATATATCGGTTTGCATTCCGCAATCCGCATGAATTTTCTTGAAGAATTTCAACTTGCAGGAACTTGATACAAAAAATATGATTACCTAAATTACATGTAAGTTCATAAAAACTCTAAAACGTTTTCCTACAGTGTACTTGTAAGAACATTGAGTTTATTTTTTATTCACGTTTTACAGAATTACAGTATTAGATTATTTCCTCACACAGTAAATTCTGTAAGAAAAATTATTTCAAAGTGTTGTCATACATGTAATTTTACAATATTCTCATTAAATTCAATTTTTGTTTTGCCCCCCCCCCCCCTCTCCCTGACCTTTTCCTCTCTGCCTTCATACCATCACCCATCTCTATCTCTATCTCTCTCTTTTTATTCCCAATTTTTTTTTTATGTTTAGATCCCTTTTCAGTACCAGACCAGAAGTAAGACTAGGGCATTACAACAGACACTACAAGTTGCCTTAATACCAGGTAAGCAGTTACAATTAATGAATTAATGAAAACTCCATATATATTTTTGAAATGGGTAGTAGCATACAAAAGAGAATTGCATACATGTACATGTAAGTTAAACACACTGGATATGGTAAGGTTAGATGTACTTGTATTTTTGTTTTCTGATACAATTTTGCTTTCTGTTTCTCAAAATGCCATGGTAAGTTTATAGAATTCAAAGCTTTCTTCCTTGTTATTCACCTGTATTCTACAAACAAATATCTTTTTGATGGATATGTTTTTATATAGTTTTATTGGTGTTTGTGTGCAGTGAAATGAATTAATATGACGATATAAAACCACTTGTAAAGCGTTTTGCTAAGCTTATACAGGGCCTTTAAACATTTTTTTTTTTTTTTTTTTTTTTTGGGGGGGGCATGGATGGGAGTTGGTAAACTGGAAACAAGTAGAATTTGTAGGTCATTTTGGTCAGTTGTAAAACAAACAAGAAAAGTGTACATCCAGCTTGGTGGGCTGACAAGATAACTATTTACCTAACCCCGCCGCCGCCTGCCGCTGTCCCAAACTTCACGGCAAATGAGGAACCCTCTTGCCTGCAGAGGCAATTTGTTTTGAAAGATTTTTCCTGGATGGCTTTTGTGAGAGGAAATACGACTCCTGCAGGTGCACAGTGTTTCGCTTCTAAACTAGGGCGCATCACTAGCCCTGCTGCCGGACACGAGAAGGCTATATTTGTCATACCAACCCAAGGGGGGGAACTAGATATCTAGTTTGTAGCGCTATGCTTTCATTGTCCGTGCTACATCTACCACTGCTCATAAGCACGATTTTTCATAAAACCAGCCACGCATGTATGTAGATGCTTGTTTTCTGGCAGCAATTTCCAGATGAATACTTTCATTTTTACTCGATCCAAGGCAGGTGAAGTATGGAAGGGGTTAAATGCCAGACAAGTGCGAAGCATGTTTGGGTAGATTGTAAGTGATTTCCTGTCAAGAGTTGGGGCTAGATTTCCTTTGAACCACCCTGTCCTTTACTTTCATCAATTACACTCTCCTGACGCCCATTTCCTTTGGATTTAGAGGTTAATTCCCTGGAATAATATTCTATAAATTTATTCTAGAGAGAGCAACAGGAAGAGAAAGAAGAAAGGATAAATAAATACAGAGAGAGAGAAAAAAAAAGGGGGGGGGGGTGGGGTGAAAAGCTGACCCCAAAACTTGTAACCCGGTTTATTTGTAACAAAATGATTCATGATTCATCAATAATTTTTACTTTTTTTTTTGGTTAAGTCCAGAATTCAAAGAATTTTGCAAAAAATATGTTCTTCAAACTTCAAAAATCAGTTTTAATATACAGTATTGCATTATAAATTGCTTTAAAAGTCAGAATGAAATATGAGCATAGAATGTGCGAGGCACAAGTGAAGGGAATAGTACAATAGTACATGCATCTATTCATCATGCAGTTTGTCACAAATCTTACTTTTTGCATTTAGCAATGATAAATGACTAGAAGTCATGCGCAAATTCATTTTCATTTCAACAAATCTGTATGAGATATCGTTCAAGCTTGTCGCTCAAATAGAAGACTTATTCACATGTAGAGAATTGATGCAGCAGTATCTGTCCGATAAATCAAAATATGATTTAATGATATTTTATGAAGGCATACGATAGTTGAATTAAAGCTGATTTAAAATTGATGGAGCTTTTAGTTAATGCGACATGGGCTATGACAGTGACAGATACTAGGCCAAAGATACTAGAGCAAAAATGGAAATAAATGTTAAACGCCTCACAAAACTGGGTTACGTTCCCAACTCGGTCTGACGTTTTGAGACTCTTCTCATATCACACTCGCACAATATATTTTATAAAAATGACGCGAGAACTCAGCTTTTAAAAGTGCCATGGAAAAATAGAAAAAGATGAAGAAGAAGAAAAAATAATGATGAAAGACTAGATTATTGAGTCTGTCATGAATTAATTTTAAACTGAGTCTATTTTCAAAAAGGAGTTTATATAGAAGGTTTGGGTCTGAAATTTGATAATGATGTAATTTCCTGCAAAGTGTTTTTGGAATATAGATAATTGTAGGCTCTAAGGCATAGTTTCATAAATTTATCAAATCCAATTAGATAACAGCTCCCGTGAAGCCTGAAATAGCCCTGCTAAAACATTTATGGAATCAATTTCTTCCAGGGAACCGTCAGAAAAGGGCTTTCATGAAGAAGAAGAAAAAAAATGCAATTTCTACACCGTTCCCCACCCTTCCTGGCCTGCGCTCTCTCAAACAGACAGAATTTCTGGTTGGAAAATTACATTACAGATGCCAGAAAATGCAATGCTTGGCTGTGCTAGCTGGAGGCGAGTCTTTGCTTTGCGATTCAATTTGCGGCTGCAGAGGGAACACGTGAGCAGATTCACTCATGGCGGGCGGGCGATGCCACTCTGTCAGTGTCTCTGGCTCGGCGGCGAGGAATCATGATTGAACATGCACTCCTATCACGCAACAAAACCTGCTGCCTTGAATATCATTATTATTAATGAAGGAATATATACATCAGTGGGTTTATGCCTGCCTTGATATGACCAGATCATTTTAGAATTTCTAATGTTCACATCTGAACTAGCTGTCATATAGTGTTTGGTAAAGATATCATTCACGTTTTTATGATTATTTAGATCATATTTTCTGTTTTGATACTGTAAATGAATGCTATCATCAGATTCATCACACATAATGCCATTATAGAAAGCAACAAATTGAAATTCTATGGTAAACATAAAGTAGAAAAATACACACTCAAGGTTGGCAAAACGTAGTTAACAGGAGTGGTAGTAGTAGTGGTAGTAGTGGTAGTAGCGGAAGTAGTGGTAGTGGTTGTAGTAGTATGAGTGAAGAAGAGCGTATTTCAACTAAAAATTCACAGTACTACTAATAATATTCATACTGACGGTCACAATTTTCAACCTTTAATACAAGTGTGATGAAATTCTTGTTTTCAACATGGACAAGTTGATATATACATGTACTGTAGTTAAAGAGAAGGTTGAGTTCTGGGAAGAGGTGAAAAATAATTTGTGAGCATTACTCATTCTTATTATGCAAGTGTGGAAGAACATCAGTTAAGACGTGTTCCTGAAAAGCATGGCTCTTCAAATGCCTTCATATTCTAAATATGCATGTAACATCGTAAAAACTTTACCAAGACTTTGCCAAATTTCTTATCATTTTGATGATTCCAGAACCTTGCAATACACACAAATTCTTATATGCTAGATGATCAACCTTTTCTGGTCGGTTCTGCACCGTTTCTTTCACAATGCAATCGCATGACCAGAACTCAACTTCATCTTTAACAGGCACACCTTACAAAGCTAACTTTGGCTAGTATTATTGAACTGTCCACTTTTCAAGGATGCAATATTTACCCCAGAGAAAATGAAAAGGAAGAAGAAAAAAAAAAGAGAGGAAAGAGCAATATCCTGTAATGACCGTTGAGGTTAATTTGAAATTTTATCACCTTTAGGGTTTCGTTATGACTGCCTGCCTGCTCGTCCTGCATAGATGTTGTCGTTGCCGTGGTAATGCTATTCATTCATGGGTAGATGGATGTTGAAATATCAAACTTGAGGAGATTTAAATGTCAAGGTAATTGAGAAAGAAAGGGCAACACAGAATGGTTTTTCTCTTCTTTTTGTTTTAAATGCCTATAATGGGAATTTATTTCTTTCGGTTGAAAGTCTAATGCGAGAACGGCATTTTGTCTTTGATCAATCCAACCTGCTCGGATGGACATCACTGAATGCTCATTATTCGGCTCAAGGGATGATTTAAAAAAGTAATGAGTCCGAAAGAGTGGAAATAAAAGAGTGCGGCAAAACAAAAAAATACACAGGGAGCGGTGACCAACTGAGCTCTGGAAAACCCCAAAGGAGGACTACAAAAATAAGAAGTACACACATATTAAAATTTCTATTCCTTTGGAAATCAAAAATTCATTGCCATGGAAAAAAGATAAGCATTGTCTTTTATCCTCTTTTTCATTTCTATTTGCATTTTAAATGTTTAACAGTGGTTCGTACACTTCAAAATTGAATAAAACAATAGAATCTTAACATTGATCCAAGCTCAATCAGATAGAATTACACATTGATAAAAATGGATCCCAGTCCTTCATTATATTATTCTAATAAAAATGTGAATTCACAATGTTTCACAAAATGCATTTGCATATTCATTTGTAAACATAATTTAACCAGGACTGTTATTGGAAATATGTAGCTTAGATCTTATCTGCTTTATATCTACAAGTGACCCAATCCTTTGTGACAATACTTCATTATATTTTTTTAGCGGTACTTTGTTCAAAGGGTAGCACAAATAGGATTTCTTTGTCCTCTGATGATCCGGAAAGAAAGATAAATTACAACCAAAGTCCAAATCATCTTGCGCTGCGACTGATTTGGGGTTGCTATGAAGCAGCAACGACCATGCTCTTTCCCCTAACGATTGTCGAGCAGCGCATATTTGTAGTTATGATCCGTGGTGATCCCCTTGAAATGATGACCCATTACAGGCAAAGTCCATGGTCAGTATATCATCAGTACTATTCACCCTTGATTGCCGTGAAGCAGAAAGGGCAAGGACTATAATAAGGAATGCTCATATGAAATGCATTCAATAGGCCTGTCTTCATCAGCTCAAGATTGCCAAATAACCTGCTATTTTAACTATCCCGATCGCAAATTAGCCAGCTAATTTGCGTCTTCATCAGCCCGCAGTTGCAATTAGAGGGATATTGGATTGAGATAACCATCCCAAGATATCTTGGGCTAGTTTGCAAAATATCTCGCTATTTGGCAAAATATCTCGAGCTTGAGTTTCGAGGTCAAGTTTCGAGCTGATGAAGAAGTCGGGCTTATTTCCCAAATCAGAAATAGCGGGCTATGTGGCAATCTCGAGCTGATGAGGACATACCTATTGCTGGTGCCCACGCAACCAACCCC